CAGAGGAAACGCGAGAAAATTAAAGCAGAGGCGATGCGCGAGGCAACAGCTACGCGCCGGCCGAAGCCTCACGCAGCGGCATCGTACAAAGCTGGTGGGGATACTTTTTTTTTACAGCCGCAGGCGGAAGCGCCAGCAGCGGGCAGTCGCGGGCGGGCTGCTGGTGGGGATACGCGAAGCGTCTAGAATTCCTGACAATGTTTATTTGGTGATCGCTGGAGCGCTTGATGGAGGACACTGAGAAAAACTGCGACTCCAAATCTGGAGCATGCTCGAGCGCCCGGCGGCCACTGTGCATTGGTTTCAGACAGGGACGGCGGGGGTGCCGGCATATTGTTTGCTGCGCGCAGGCCAACACGCTCCACCATCCTTTTCCAAAACCAAGACAACGTGCACTTTGCACCAACATCTGGGTCATGTGCGGACGCCCCGCGATCACATTGCATTGGTTGTTGACACGGATGGTGCGGGTATCGGCATATCACCTACCTTGTGCGGGCCCACCATCCCTTTCAAATGAACCCAAAAAACACTTTGCCAGTGACGGGGGGGGCGACACACTGCCTGCTGCGGGCAGGCACAACGATCGTGACCGCACACCCGCATACTTCAAATCCGCAGTCACTTTGCATTGTTGTGACAGGGGCGGTGAGAGGGTCAACATATTGTCCAATTTGGCGCACCTGGCGCGCGTGGCGCAACTGGCATGCGCGGCGCACGCCGCGGGTTTCGCGCGCCTGGCTGGAGTCTGCGTTGGTCCCCGGTGGTTGTCGATAGCTGCCACTGTCCATGCTGAGACGTGGGAGCTACTTATGTGTTGGGAGGGCGGGTGGGAATGAGCCTGACGATTTGTTGCTTGTAAGTAGCTTGACTCTCCTCCTTCCCCCTCCCCTGGGTCTGGAGGGGAGGGACAACGACCCACTGGAGCGTCCAAGGAGGCCTCGACGAAAAGGCAACAATCATGCAGTTCGCTTCAGTTTTTTGCCCACCCACGTTGGCCCCCTGGTGTGGCGACGAAAACTCAGCAGCCTAAAAAGCCCGCTAGAGACTTCCAAAAAGCTCCCCCGAGGCACCCAAGACGCCCCAAAAAGACCCTGGGACCGCCAAGAGGCCCCCAAGACGCTACAAGCAGACTCCAAGAAGCTCCCAGAAGACGGTTCAAGATTCTCCGAGAGGAATTCAAGAGGCCTCTGGTATTTCTGCTCGCCCTGCTCCTCCTCCTCGTCCTCTTTCTCCACCTCATCCTTCTCTTCCTCATCCTCCTCCTCCTCCTCCTCCTCCTCCTCCTCCTCCTCCTCCTCCTCCTCCTCCTCCGCCGCCGCCGCCTCCTCCTCCTCCTCATCCCCCCCCCTCCTCCTCCGAGCGGCGAGCGCGTCTGTCCGCTCGCCCGAACAATTGATCGGCAGCGGGCGCAACCCCCCGACCCTGGAACCACCGCACCGCACACCGGGGACTGGTCCTGGAGCCGAGGGGGCGCGCCCGCCGGGGCCTATAAATTCCGACGCACGGGGCCGCCACGGCGAAATGGCGCGGCGCGCCGCGAGCACTGGCCTGCAGCGGGGGCCAGAAGCCGGAGCTAGCAGCCAGCACCCGCCACTCCAGCCTCCAGCGCCCGCCTGGCCGCCTGCCCCGCCGGCAACTCCTCGCCGCCCAGCCGCGCCGCGACTCCTCGCCAGCAGCTGCGCGCTGGCGCCAGCCCCTGCGGCCGCCCCGCCGCCGTCCGGCGCCTCAGCGGCGAGCCCCGGCAATCGCTGCCCAGGGCCGTCCGCAGCCGCCGCGCCCAGTCAGTGGCGCCCAGGGCGCCGCGCGCCGGCCGTCCAGCGCCTCGTGCTGCGCGCTGCTCAGCTCCGCGCCCCAAGTTCAGCGCTGCGCGAACCGCGCGGTGGCACCCCCGAGCCCAAAGTTCAGCTCATAGCGGCGGCGCGCCTGAGCTGGCGCGCCACCTGGCGCTGCAGCGCGCAGATGAGCGTTTTGTAGGCGCGCGCGAGCTCCCCCGGTTGCGCGCCCTCAGGAAGCTCTCCCATCTGCGCAAGGAGCCACTTCCGCGCCTCGGCGCCCAGGCGGCCCGAGGACTCCAGGGCGAACGCGGTCGTGCGCTCGCCTGGAAACATCGCGTGCTTCTCACGCTCGGCCCTGCGCGCGGCCTCGCCCAGCCGTCGTGCCGCGGCCGAGAGCGCCGTCTCGTCTCCCGCCGCCGGGTGGCGGACAGTGATGTCCACCCACCAGGGGCCGTCCGCCTCCGCGCACTGGAGGTCCAATATGGCCCGTCCCATGACCGGCAGGCCGGCCCTTCCGCTAGCCGCCGCGCGCGGTGCCTGTCCAACGCTGGGGCTCGCTGTTCGTAGAGGGGCGAGCAGTGCCCCCACCTCCCTGCCAAGCTCCCCAGCGCCCTCGCCAGGTCGGCGCAGCGTCGCACAACACCGCCGCCAGACTGGCAGGCGCAGACGTGGTAGCCGTCGTCGTCCAGAAGGGCCGAGCAGGTGGCGCCGCCCGCCGTCTGGTTGCAGCAGGCCGCGGAAGCCCGCTCCAGGTCCCCGCGCGAACATGGCAGTGGAACGGCGCACACCTTTGGTATTCATTGGTTCCGCAACACCTTGCGGACGAGGCCTTCCAGTGGGCCATCGACAACGTCACTGTGCCTACTTGCTGGGTAGACTTCATGGTCCAGCCTCATGTACTGTGGCTACGAATCTGCGCTCGGGGTGGACCCTTCAATCCTCTACATTCTGGACCAAACCCCAGGGCTTGAACATCGATATCTGCGTGGTTCCACTTCGCGATGTCGATGAAATAATGGCGCGGGACGCGCCATATCGGCTTGGCAGCAGACGTCCCCTCACCAGCCTGTGCTGTCACATCCTCTCGGTCTTCTATACTTGCCTCCACTTCGTACTCTACTCGGTAGTCGACGCTGGTTTGGTGGAGCCCTCAAGATGATGCGCTCCAGTCGGTCATTGCTGGCGCAGTGCGCTTAGCCAGCTCTTGTTCCTTTTGCGGAGCTGTCCATGTTCATGGCATGCATGCAAGACGGCATCATCTCTAAAACTGCGATGGTACGCTGCCCGACTGGCAGGCCTACGGTTTGCCAGCTCACATCGCACGCGTCCGAGTACAACTCCTGATGACCATCTCCAGCACTCTGCCTTGGCTCCTGACCCAGAGCAGCTTTTGCCACAACCAGCGATGGAGTTTGATACTCTTTGGATCTCCTTCGGTGATCCACACGCCGTGCCTTTCCTCCCGTCGCTCATGCTCGGTGCTGGATCGGGTCTATCTGGTCCCTCCCCCAGGGCATTGCGCTGCGGCTTCTCAGCCGTGGCTGCGGGGCCAGCCGGCGAGACGCGCATCGCCGCCTACGGAGCGTACCCTGGTACAAATCAATGTATGCCCGGTGCGGAAACGCTGACTTCCCTTCGTTTCCTCCCGCATGCTTTGCCCGATGCAACCAGACACGATATCTAATACAGCGACTGCCCGTGGATAGTGAATTCACGGCATGCCCAATATTCTCATGCTGTCTCTGGTTGGAGCCCCCCTTCGGGCATATGGGCTCGCATTCACGCGAAGGCTGCTGACATCGCTTACGACAGCATGAGTGTGCACAAAGTAAAGGGCCAACTCACTGTCTCCTCCACTGCCCAGGCCTCCTGGCCGACAACGGGGAACGATCACGCTGACTCACTTGCTAAACTTGGTGCTCGTCGTCATCCTGTCGATGGGGCGGCGACGGAGCGTCTGAGTAGGTCGCGCATAGTAGTAGAGCACATCGGCAAAGATGCTGGCTCTGTGGTGTCTCGTGTTCGGCCGCGCCATACGGATCTCCCGCGCCCTGCTCGTGCAAGCCCTCGCTCCCCGCATCCTGGGTGTTTCAGCACTCCGGCCGCCGTTGCGATGCCGCCCACGGGGGTCCCACACGAATTGGCATGGGATCAGGCTGCGCAGCATATTCGGTGCATTGCATGCTGGGCCTCCACACATTGCAGGTTCGAATGATACAAAAGCGCGTGTCCGTCTCCGCACCGGTTCGGCCAGATAGTTCCATGTAATGGTAGGTTTGTGTTATGTAAGCTATGTGGGTCTCACTCGTCCACAAATGTCGGTCACATGCTCAATTCATGTCGCCAGAGTCCGAATCCACCACTGCCAAGTATAGACTTGGCAGGTTGATGCAAGTATTGGACCCCAAGGCAAATCGGTTCACAGGTCCAATAGTCCCAGTGCTAACGTGCCTGTATAACTAGTTTGGAGACCCAGCGGCTGTTGGCCCTGATCATGTGGTGGTACTCCATCTCGTTCCCTGACCTTCTCTATCTTGCTGTATAATCCCTGCTTTGTCGTAAAATCAGGCCGCTTTGTCCCAAGATGAGGCTCCGATGAGATGCGGACTCCAGTCCCAGCAAATGGGCGACACGCTGACATCCACCCAGGATGGCCGGCTGTGCCTGGAGTGATCCAATAAAGTGACACAAAGAATCCAGCAGCGGATGACAGCATTCATCTACATTTGTGCTACGGCTTTGTAATATACATTTTCTTGTCTCCTCTGCTGCGGGGTCTGCCTGGGGCGAGCGACTCGTGCTATGCGCAGCTGCCCCCTCTTGTTGCCAGTTGTTGTTTCTCTCGTTGCTTCTCTGATATTGAGCCTGCTTGTTCTGAGGCCGGCCACCGTCCTTGTCCTCGTCCTCCTCCTCCTTCTCCATCTCCTCCTCCATCCTCCTCTTCCTCATCCGCCTGTTCCTCATCTCTCCTCTGTCCCCCTCCCCCTTCCCCTCCTCCTATTCTTCCTCCTCCTCCTTCTCCTCCGCCTCGTCCTCCTCCATCCTCCCCCTCTTGGGTACGACGGCTTTCTAACCCTTTATTTCACTGCATGATCCTCCACATCCCTGATCTGAGCAACTCGCTTGGGCATCGTTTCTGGATGGGATCGTGGGATTACGCGAAGCGTCTAGGGTTGGCATACACGAAGGGAGTGGGCCATTAACGTGTCTGCCCTGAACGTCCTCTGCTGTGTGGTTTTCGAGGGCGACTCAGAGAGAAGCTCGAGGGCGGTGATGGGCCCGCTCTTCAGCTTGGTCCAGACCTCGATGTACTCCTTTCAGCAGTCCTCCTCCTGCTCCTCCTCTTCCTTCTCCGTGTACTAATCATCATATTAATTATTTGCTGATCTATGTATGAGTGTATTATGCATTATATTATTCATTCATTGATTAGTAGTACTCTTACGGTTGCCAGTACTATTATCATTAGTAGTAGCATCCATAGTCTTACTAGCCTTATACTTATCATTATTCGTAGTAGTAGCAGCAGTGTTCGTAGGAGCAGTACTAGTAGTAGTAGTAGTAGTAGTAGTAGTAGTAGTAGTAGTAGTAGTAGTAGTAGTAGTAGTAGTAGTAGTAGTAGTACCATTGTTACTCTGTTTCATCGCAGCCTTAGTCGTGATATACGTATCCGTATTAATCATATTCGTCCTCATTATCATGATCATCACCATCATCAGCATCATCATCGACATCATCAGCATCATCATCATCAAATAATCATCATCGTCATCAGCAGCATCATCATGATAAGCATCAGCATCATCAACATAATCATCATCCTCATCATCATCGGCATTATCATAATCATCAGCCTCAGCATCCTCATCATCATCATCATCATCATCATCATCATCAGCATCATCATCATCATATTCATATTATTCTTCATCATCATCGTCGTCATCGTCGTCATCACCGCCAGCATCATCATCATCATCAGCATCATCGTCGTCAGCAGCATGAATATGAGCATGCGCGTCATCATCAGCAGCAGCATCATCAGCAGCATCATCATCAGCAGCATCATCATCTGCAGCGTCATCATCATCAGCATCATCAGCATCATCAGCATCATCAACATCATCAGCATCATCATCATCGTCATCATCATCATCATCATCATCATAATCATCATCATCATCATCATCATCATCATCATCAGTACCATCATCAGCATCATCAGCATCATCAGCAGCACCCTCAGCAGCATCATCATCGCCTGCATGGCCAGAACAAACATCACCACTACCACTATTATCACCGTCACTGCAACCGCCACCGTCACAATTATTGCATCAAGCGCATCACCATTAATAACTCCTCCCGTTCCGTCCTCCTGTGTTCCTCCTCGCGTCCCCGATCCTGCCCCTCCGTCTACCTCACTTGACTTCCCTGTCCATGTCTCCCTCCCCTTCCACGCCCACCTGTATCTCCCCTTCCATTCCAATCCATGTCCCCCATCCCCTCCTCCCACCATCTCTCCCTCCACCCTCTCCCCGTTACCTGTCCCACACTCAGCCCAATTCTCCTCTTCAAACCACATTTCAGACATCCCACATTCCGCTGCCCCTTTTCATGTCTCGTCCCCTTCACTTCCCTCCGCACTCTTTCTCGCCGTCGTCGTCATAATCCCCATCGTCACCACCACCACCATCATCATGATTATCATCAGCACAAGCAGCAGCAGCAGCAGCACAATGATCACAGCATCATCATCATCATCATCATCATCATCATCATCATCACCATCACCATCACCATCACCATCATCATCATCATCATCATCATCATCATCATCATCATCGTCATAAGCATCACCATCGCCATCATCGGCAGTACCATCAGCATCATCCACATCAGCATCATCATCATCAGCAGCAGCACTATCTGCGATATCACTATCAAAATCCTCAGCATCACCACCACCACCTTCGTCAACATAGTCATCATCATCGTCGTTGTCAGCATCGTCATCATAATCATCGACATCATGCACATCGTCTGCATCATCAGCAGCGACGGTAGCAATATCAGTAGAAGTAGCATCTTTATCATCAGCAGCATCATCATCGTCATCATCACCAGCACGATCGTCATCAACATCATCGTCATCATCATCGTCATCATCAGCATCGTCTTCGTCATCGTCATCGTCGTCGCCGTCGCAGTCGCCGCCGCCACCGTTATCATCAGCACCACCACGCTAATGAGCTTCATCGTCATCACCATACCCATCAACATCATAACCACCACATGTATAATCAGCATCATGGTCATCATTATCATCATCATCATCGCCCCTCCGCCTCGCCAGGAAACTCAAACAGTGCCGGCGCGTAGCACGAGCGCGCTGCATTCGGCACACACTCAGGTAATGCAGTGATGGATCGTCGTCTCCGCTTCCCTCCCCCTCCGCCCCTTCCCTATCGTCCGTTCCTCCTCCTCGCTGTCCTCCATCCTCTCCCGATTGGCCGAGGGGGGAAGGGAGGGAGCTCCTCCCGGACCTTCCCGCGCGGGTGGCTCAGCTCGCCCATCACGTCGCGGTCAAAAGTGACCTGCACGCCCCGACCCCCTGGCGCCACGCGGAGACAGTGGCGGGCGGCCCTGGCCAAGACCAGGGGGAGAGGGAGGGGGGGGGCAGACAGGGGCAGGGGCAGGGGCAGGGAAAAGGGGAAGGGGAACAGAGAGTAAGTAAGACACGACTGTGGGCCCGTATCTCTTCTTGCCCATGCATTGCCGAGCGGAGTGGACAGCAAGCGGCATGTTCGCATATGGAAGTGGCGTGTTAAAACTTGTGGGATTTCAAGTGAAACACACAGGCGTGTTGAATTCGGGAGACTGCACCGGTCGGACGACTTTTAAAGGCCATGCGGTTCAGAAGGGGCCCAGCGGGCCCCGACGGGCCTGAAGACTGGGCCCCAGGGTCGTGCGCACCGACGTACGAACAGACCCAGGAGTCAAGGACTGCGAGGGCACCATGGCCCAGAGAAGACCAAGACACCCCGAGGGGCAACCGCACGGGGTGCGGACCTCGCGACAGCGTGAAACGGGTGAGAGGCGGCTGGCAGCCGACACAGGAAGGCTCACTGTGCGCGCCCGTCGATCAATATGTAAGTCCTCAGCGGCAGGAGGATGCCGAAATTGAGGTAGAGCGTCCCCAGCCACTGAAAAAAACTCGCAAGCCTGTTCCCACGGCGCGGGCAGCAAAACGGCGACGTGCCTCCCAAATCAATGGAGCCACAGCTCCACGGGGCGGGAGGCCCAGTTCTGACCTTCGAGGCAGGCTTCCTCTCATGTACCGTCCTTTGCGTCTACCGCGTTCTGCAGCATCTCCTTCATGGCGCCTGGCGGTGCCGCGCCCAGCGCCCTTCGGCCTCCGATTTCCTCGATTGCTTTCTGCAGGAGTCCTCTCACGATCAACGGCGAAGGCAGCAGCTGCTGATTGGACTCGGGCGGCGCGCCCCGCATGGGCACGTCTCTCAGCATCAGGTGCAGATTCCTCTCGTTATGGTCGAAATTCTTCGCTTCGCGAAACAGCGGTAGCAAGTCGCACAGCTACTGCGGCTGCAATTCGCACCATATTTTCACACGCCACTCGTTGAGCATCGCGCGCGTCTTCTGCCCCAGCGCGAGCCCACGCTCGAGCAACTCGCTGACGAACCCATTGAAGATGCGAAGGTGAGGAGGACCGAGCCGGCGGCCTTTGCCGCGGGCTCGGACTTCTGATGAACACGTCGCCCCCGCTTCCTGCGCCGCCTCGATCTCGGGCAGGTCTGCGATCAGGCGAAAGGCGCCCACGCCCGCGGCCCAGGTCTCGCACCATCTGCGCGGTCATCAGCGCCTGCTTGATCAGCACGCTGAGGAACTGGGCCTGCTTTACGGTGAAACCCATGTCCCTCACCTTGCCCAGATGCCCGTTGCGCTGCTGCTTGCCGTTGGGGCCCCCGCCGCCGCCGGCGGCCGCGCCTCCTGACGACGCGGCCACTCGACTGGAAGCGGCGTCTGCCCCTGCGGCCGCTGTCTTCGCGGGCTGGGACCCCTTGGCCTCGGCCGCTTGCGGAGCGCCGTCGGCCTCTGCGCCTGCCGGCGGGCGCCTGGGCAATTGCCACTTGGGCATCGCCATCACTGCCTCCCCGCCCAGGTAGTAATGGGAGGCGCCGTTCACAGATGCGATCTCGCAGCTGAGCCAAATCGGAATACGAAGATGCGCAACAAATATAAAACACTCGAGCTTGGGGATGACCACTGGACGAAGCGCATGGGCACTGCGAGCGTCGCAAACCCCCTGCGAAAGGCACGGAAGAGGTGAGATTTAGCAATCTTCTGGAAAGCGAACGAGGCACGGCATGCTGGACACTGGTTCGTGGCAACGCAACGGGCATAGCACGAAAAATCGCCATCAATTCCTCCCCGCGCGTGCGTCTGGCGCGAAATGAAGGCAGCATGTGAGGAACAATCGCACACCACATTCGTTTCCATCAGCGGTCGTACAACTGCACGCGTGGACGAAGCCGCAGGGGTCCACAAAGTTTTCGGCGTTGGAAACGAAGCTGGCGAGATGGTATTCTCCGAAGTCGATGGTGCCCAGGTCAGTCTCACCGCTCTGCCATACCTCACGCAGAGAAGAGACGTCAGCAGCCAAAGAATGATGGGATATGTTGTCATCATGAAAGAGCGCACATATGTTCTCGCCCCAGGTGGAGCGCCAATCTGCACAATCAGTGAGAAGCCCGAGCTAACAAATGTCGGCGACGAAACGAACGGCGAACGGGTTGGCGCGCACGGCGAAGCGGCCATCGACGAGGGCGGGGGCATTCTTGAAGCCGAGCCGACCGACGAGGAGGGAGATGACCTGGGAGTGATCTTCGGGCCACCGAACGATAGTTTGATACCATCGAAGGCTATGGATCAACAGTCGAAGGCACTATGTTCATCCACTTCCAGACAGCCCGAGAGTCCATCACGACAGGATGGTCCCCGGACCGTTCACACATAGCCCCCGCAGCGATGCATCTGATTTTGCCCAAAAGGGCAAGGCCGAGCTGGGCCTCCTGGGAGGCCGCGAGGAGATGCGGTGCAAGTCCTGACAGTAGCGCACCTTGCCCCACAAATATGAATACGAACCTATCCACCTTGAAAGGGGCACCCAGGGCCCACAAATATCTATCAGACAAACACCCCCTGTTGGTCGCTTGCGCACTCAAGGCTAGTCCGCGGGACAAAGCGCCCGATGGGAAGAAACTGCGGGCGCAAGTACCTCGCGCGAGGGGCCACTCTGGCCCCGCCAACCTCCGCCACGTAAAAGTGGCGAGTGGCCTTATGGCCGCAGCGGCACGGGGCCAAAAATTGTTCTTTTGTGTTTCGCTTATATCCGAACTCCGCCGGAGCTTTGCCCTGCTCGCCCTGGGCCTCGCGCGCCGCGGCGACGGCCCCCGAAAGAGCCCCCTCCTGTAGCAGCATTAAATAAGCGAGGTCATCTACATATTTGAAGAAGCTCGCGTAGACCTCACGCGAGAACACAGCGCACAGCGTGCTGCGTTCTCAACCTGGGCAACGAGGGCGGGGCCCTGGTTGGCCCCGACCCACTGCTGGAGGGGGCGAAAAATAATCGGCACGAAACTCATCTGGCGCACTGGGGCCCCCCATAAGCGCCCCGCTTTGGAGGTGCAAGGTGGCGGGGCAATCCACGCCATCAAGGTGACATAGGCGCGCGGCGCGCGCATCGCCTAGCAGGGCTGCACCCCCTGCTGACAATTACTCTAACACAGTCCACGATTCATGCGCTCGTGATCACAACAGCCAAAAGCATTCTTCATGCCATCAAACACAGCGATGTGCCACACACGTGCGCTGCGCAAGCGCTCCGACAACACGCGCGCCCCAAGGATGGCGTTATCCCTCCGTCTGAAAGGGGCGCACCCGCGGTCGAAATCCGCAGGCACTGCGCGTGAGACAGACTTGCATGCCCCGCGTGCGACAGCGCGAAAGAAAGGGCAGAGGCCGTGCATAAATCTAAGGCCGCCATCGGGTCTGGGGGTCTGCCATCCAACCGAGAAACCCGCGCAAGTCGGAAACCTCCCCACAGCCCGCCAGCACGCGGCGAGACTTCCCAAACCCGATGCGATGGCCCCATATCCCGGGGGGCCCAGGTGCGCCTCCGACCCCAGAAGCGGACAGGCGTGGCTTACTAAAATATCATGATTTCTGGGAGAGACCAGGAGGGAGCAGAACGCCGACGCGAAGCCTTTCGAAGCACCCACGTAGCTCCACGACGGTCTGGGGACCCCAACTCCCCCGCCGAGTCCCGCCCACCCATCCCTTGAGGGGCCAAAGAGGCCCGCTGTGTTAAGAAATCTCAAGCCGAGACTGGGGCCGCTAGAAGTCCGCCTTCCGAGCCAGGGAGGCCCAGCACCGACGCGAGTTCATCGGCCGACGCAACGTGCCTGCGCCCCGCCGAATAGCTGCGACGTTTCGGCCCCAGTCCCGTGCCTGCCAACCGTCTGGAAAAATATTGAACGCCGGCCAGATCGCGCCTGCGCCGCGCCTCATGCACACCCTCAATCCAAGTTTTTTCGGAGCGACCGCGTCCACCGCCTGACCTCCTAGCGGATCCCATTGGTGCAATCTCTGATCTGGAAGTCATGATGCCGCGTGGGCTGCCCTTGTTCACGCAGGAAGGCACCCGCGCGAAGCAGTCGTCGGACTCGGACCCTACGCTGCGAAAACTCCCCCCCTGGGGCCCGCCGGGCACGTCCGAAATGTTTCTTGGCGATCGGAGTCAGGGCACCCATGGGCCAGGCATCTCCGCCATCAATCATGCTATTCTCGAAATAACCTAGGCACGAGGGGGCTGCCCGCGACAGCGCCTCGTTAGCCTCCAGCAAGAAACCCCCCACGAAGTCCAGGAGTCTGCAAGGCCGTCTCGATCGCGTCGATTTTCCACGAGGCCGCGGCAGCACTGTTGAGAAGAGACGGGACTCCAAGGTCGACTTCCTGCAGTACTGGCGCGCGGTCGCGGAGCACCCCCTTCGACGGGAAGAGCTGGAGCTGCCTCGCCGCCTTCGTCATCGCAAGCAGCTTGGAAATTCGCGGGGGGTGCTGCGGCGGGCAAAGCGTAGTGATCGATCCAAGACGAAGCCTTCTCCCCATTGTACGTGGGCGCGATCTTGCGAAACGTAGTGGCGCGAGCCAAGTGATGTCGGTGCAGCACTTCTCGAAATCCTCGGGCTGCGTGGCCCATGCGCGACTGCACGCAAGGCCCCACGCACGCGAAGCGGCTGCCCATCTCGCCCTGTGCGAACGAGTCGTTCAGGTCAGTCCAGATCACAGGGGTGGACCGCTCTGGCGTGCTGTCTAGCACGGTGCTGAGCCACTCGAGGAAAACGTCGACCGTGCGTCTCCGCGTGGCGGTGCCAGAGCGAGGCCCAGGCGGCGGGAAATAGAAGGCGATGGCCGAGATGTCGAGCGATCCAGTGACCACCCGCACGAGACCAGCACGGCCCTGTGCTGAAGCAGGTCCAGGGAATATGCGATGCACCCGCAGTCCAAGATCCCTCCTGCGAACACCAATGGACACGCCAGCAGCACGATTCGTGGATGGGCCACGTCCATGTCTAAAGTGGTACTAGTCGTGCCCGCCGATCTTCGCCTGCCTGCGCACAGCCTCCGACTGAACCGCGCGCACGCGCGTGCCCACGATGAAGTGGATCGGGAAGCCAGGCGCCAGCAGGGCGACCTCCTCCAGCCGCCGCGGCTGGATCAAGCTGCAGGCACTGAAGCCAAACAGCTTGCAGCGCATGAAAGGTAACTACCTGGGACGTTCGAAAGGGCCGTTCAGGGCCCCTTCCGAACATGAAGCGCCGTTGGGATGCCAGAAGCAGGGAGCCCCTCGCTGGGCCCACTGGATCTTGGCCCAACACAGAAAGGGGCTGGGGAACAGGGAGGGGAAGGGGGACAAGAAGGGGACAGGGACAGGGACGGATGCTGTGGGCGGGGAGGGGGGGGCAGTGGAAGAGGGATAACTTCGCCGCCGTTTTGCAGAGCCCGTGGCAGATGGGGGGCGGCGGGCAAGGCGCGCACAGGCGAGCTGAGCTCCTTGTGGTGCGCGATCCAGCTAGGAGGTGAGCTGAGACCCCATACGGGGCACGAAACGTATGAGGGTGTTGCCGAAATTTGCCGCGGTGCCGCCATGCGGGCACTGCTGCGGGGGCCTTCGGCGGACCGTGCGAACTGCGCCACTGGGGCCACATGCGGAGCTCCCCGTGGGGTCACGAAACGTATGAGGGGCGTACATAAATCGGAGTGGCGCTGGCCATGCGCTCGCGCCCACTGAGGCCGCAGGTGGGACCCCCATATGGGGCCACGAAACGTGTGAGGGGTGTGCCAAATCGGGGGCGGGAGCGCCATGCGGCCACGCCCAGTGGGACCGCAGGTGTTCCTTGTGGGGCCATGGAACGTATTAGAGGTCCTTCAAAAACGGGCGAATACGCCATGCCGTCGCGCGCACTGAGACCGTAGGTGGAGCCCCCCGTGGAGCCACGAAAGGCATGAGAGGTGTACCAAACTGGGTGCGCCATGCGGTCACGCCCACTGAGACTGGACGTGGAAATCCTGATGGGACCACAAAACGTTCGAGGGGTGTGGGGCGGGTACGCCATGCGATCGCGCCCACTGGGACCGCGGGTGGAGTCCCCGGGCCAGAAAAACGTATAGCTGTGTGCAGCATTGGGGGCGGGGGCGCCATGCGGTCGCGCCGGCTGAGACCGTTGGTGGACATCCCCATGGGCCACGCAACATGTGAGCGGTGTGGGAGCTGCGCTGGCCATGCGGTCACGCCCACTGAGGCGGCAGGTGGAGCTCCCCATGGGGCGTGAGGGGTGTGTCGAGATAAGCCGGAAACGCCATGCGGTCGCGCCCAGACCTCAGGGGGAGATCCCTGGGGCCGCGAAACGTGCGAGGGGTGTGCATAAATCGGGGCGACGCCGGCCATGCGATCGCGCCCACTGAGCAAGACGTATGGGCAGGGGGCCGGGGAGCCGTGCGGTCGCGCCCACTGAAGCCGAGGGTGGGGCTCCCTACGGGGCCACGCAACGCGTCAGGGGTGTGCCGAGTTGGGGGCGGGTGGAGCTCCCCATGTTATGGGTCCACGGAACGCGTGGGCGCTGTGCCAAAGTGGGCAGGCGGAGAGCAGGGGCAGGGGATGAGGAAGGAAGGAGTAACGGGGGTGCTGCGCAGTCAAGACGGGGACCAATGACACAGGAGGGCTGGGAAAACTCATCCACCGCCCCTTCCTCCCTCCACCCTCTCTCTCTCTTTCTCTCTCTCTCTCTCTCTCTCTCTATTCTCCCCTGGTTCGTGCGACGATGGCGGCGCTTTCGAGGAGCCGTTCAGAATGCTCGTTTTCCTAACCAAAGGCATCCTCGTCTTCCCTCCCTTGCTCTGCCCCCCAAGCCTCCAATTTCCTATCTCTCTCTCCACTGTCCTTCTTGTTCTGTCTTTCCACGGAGCCTAGGTCACCCAGGTGACGGCCGCGCCCTTACGGAAAATGTCTGCTACAACGCCTGAACTGCTACGTCCATCCATCCCTCGCACGCTCGATCCCCAAGATTCCTTCCCACCGTGTCAATGCACCCGCAAGGCTCCAAATGCTCCTCCGCTCCCCACCCTTGCCCTCGCCTCCCATCACCCTTCCCTCCCCTCCCTCGCCTCCCTCACCTCCCCTCCCTCCCCTCACTACCCCCACTTCCGCCTCCTCTCCGCTGCCTTCCTCCCCCCTATCCCCCCTCCCCTCCCCTTCCTCGCGACCCATCCCCCCTCACCCTGCCTCCCTCCCCCTCAAAGGAGCCAGGATCAGCGCAGCCTGGGTGCACAACACGCCGCCCGTGGGCGGCCGGAAGTCCAGCGTCCTGTGCCGCAGGCTGCGAGTGCGGCCGCTGCCCACGGCCACCACCGCGTGGTAGCCCGCGCAGCTCTCCTGACGGACTGGCTAACCCCTCCCTCCCTCCTCCTTTCATTCCTCGTTCCTCCCTGCCCCTCCACCCTCCACTTCGTCCAACCATCGTCATCCCACACTCCTCCTAATAATAATGATGATGACACGAAGAATGACAACGATATTAAAATGTAAAAAAAACTTATTACTAATAGTATTACTACGACTAGTATAGCATCATGAATCGTATTCTTAGTAGCGATAGGTAGCATTCATGTTGTGTAGTATTACTTTTCTGAGTATTAATAACATCCTTAGTCGGATTTGAATCATTGATGGTATTAGGTGTCATATGTTACTCATGATTATTATTATGATTCGTATGGTCAGTATTGTGCCTGGCATGATCAGTCGTAATAGTAAGAATAAGATGAACATTGGTAATAGCGACAGCTGTATTAACAGCATTAGTGTTGCTGTTATGATCACTATCAATAGTAATATGATCATCCGTAGTCGTATTATTAGCACTGCGAAAATTATGTGTATGATTACTCGTGGTATTATTGCCCTAATTCATATTATTCCTCATCATCCTCCTCCTCCTCCTCCTCCTCCTCCTCCTCCTCCCCATCATCATCATCCTCCTCCTCCCACCCCCTCCTCCTCCTTCTCCACCTCCTCTTCCTCCTCCTCCTCCTCCTCCTCCTCCTCCTCAGCATCATCATCATCATCATCATCATCATCATCATCATCATCATCATCATCATCATCAGCATCGTCATCATCACCATTCATCATCATCATCATCGTCATCAGCAACATCAGCATCAGCATCATCATCAGCATCAGCATCATCATCAGCAGCATCATCATCATCATCAGAAGCATCATCCCTATCATCAGCTCAGCATCAGCATCATCATCATAATGATCGTCACCAGTACCATCATCCTCCTCATCATCCTCATCATCGTCCATCATCATCATGTTCATCACCATCGTCAGCAGCATCATCATCAGCATCAGCATCAGTATCATCATCAACATCAGAATCATCATCATCATCCGCCTCCCTCTCCTCCTCCTCACCAGCATCATCATGATCATCAGCATCATCATCATCATCATCAGCATCATCATCATCAGCATCATCATCATCATCATCATCATCATCATCGTCCACCCTGCTCCTCCTCCTGCTCCTCCTCCTGCTCCTCCTCCTCCTCCTCATCCTCATCCTCCTCCTCCTCTTCCTGCTCCTCATCCTACTCCTCCTCCTCCTCCTACTCGTCCTCCTCGTTCGCCCACCCTCCTCCTCCTCATCCTCCTCATCATCATCAGCATCAGCAGCATCATCCTCGTTCTCCTCCCCTTACTTCTCCTCATCATCCTCCTCCTCCTCCTCCTCATTATCATCCTCATCCTCCCCCTCCTCTCCCTTCTCCTCAGCCTCCTCCTCCTCCTCCTGCTTCTCCTGCTCCTCATCCTGCTCCTCCTCCTCCTCATCATCATCCTCCGCCTCCTCCTTGTCCTCCCCTTCTTTCTCCTCCTCCTCCTCCTCCCTCTCCTCCTCCTCCGTCTCCTCCTCCGCCTCCTCCTCATCTTCTTCCTCCTCCTCATCATCATCGTCATCAGCACCAACATCATAAACATCATCCTCCTCCTCCTCCTCCTCCTCCTCCTCCCTTCAGGTCCTCCTCCTCCTCTCCTCCTCCTACTCCTCCTCCTCCTCCTCCTTCCTCCCCTCCTCCTCTCCTCCTCTCTCCCCGTCCCTCTTCCTCCTCCCCGTCCTCCTCTCCCTCCTCCCCCACCCACCGTCCTCCTCCTCCACCTCCTCCTCCTCCTCTTGCGCCTTCTCCTCCTCCTTTTCCTCCTCCTCCACCTCTCCTCCTCCTTCTCCTCCGCCTTCTCTCCTCCCTCCTTCTTCCTCTTCCACTCCTCCTCCTCCTCCTCCTCCTCTCCTGCTCCTCCTCCTCCTCCTTCTCCTCCTCCTCCTCATCATCATCCACCTTTTCCTCAGTGCCCACGGTACTATCCTCCTTCTTCCTCCTCCTCTTCCTCCTCCTCCTCCTCCTCTTCCTCCTCCTCCATTTCGTTTCCTTAAAAGTGATTTCTCCGTGTCGAACCCCAGGTCAGTTCTTAGGGCGGGCTGGGCGTTTCGCTTGAGACTGCCGCACCACCTATGATTCTGAAGCTTACAAATTGGCAACAGCTTCACAGATGAAGGGCGGGTGGTTTTCAGAATGTGGCTCTCGCCTTAGCGCTGCGCACACTCGTTCTAACATTTGAAAGAGCTTCACGGATTGAGGATAACCCGTCTTCAAAATGTGGTTCTCGCCTCAGCGCCGCGCACCTCCGTTTTAAAATATTGCAGCAAGAGCTTCACGGATATAGGATAACCCGCTTTCAATATGTCCTTAGCGCCGCGCACATTCTTTCCAAAAAATGCAACTGCTTCACGGATTGAGGGCGGGTCCTTTTCAAAATGTGGCTCTCGCCTTACCGCCACGCACATTCGTTGATAAAATTGGCAAGACTTTCACGGAGTCCCACGATCAACATACCAGAAATTCTGTTTTGGAAGGATTCAGGATTTTGCGAGCCCAACAATTACGTTGATTCGTGGTGTTGAAATCAGAAGAATGGCGTTCTGGCACGAGCCAGGATCGTCAAAACGCAACGCCAAGTTGATCCGTGGCGTTGGAATCCCGAGAACAATATTGTGGCATGCTTCCAGGTCTTCAATCGGTTGTCTTCCAACGAGGCAGATCCCCCAATGGAAATGAAACGTTGTAGAAGCCTATGAAGAAAGAGCTTGGAGGAAGGGTGTATCCCAACATCGTTGATGGCTCTTGGGCTTGCATTGGTCTTCCTCCTCCTCTTCTTCTTCATCCTCCTCTTCCTCCTTTTACACCTCCTCCTCCTCCTCCTCCTCCTCCTCCTCCTCCTCCTCCTCCTCCTCTTCCTCCTCCTCCTCCCCCTCCTCCTCCTCATCGTCCTCCTCATCGTCCTCCTCCTCCTCCCTCCTCCTCCTCCTCCCTCCTCCTCCTCCTCCTCCCTCCCCCTCCTCCTCCTCCTCCTCCTCCTCCTCCTCCTCCTCCTCCTCCTCCTCCTCCTCCTCGCCGGCCCGGCGCGCGCGAGGAGCCGTACGCCGGCCCGCCTCGCAGCAGGTGATGGCGGCGCCGCAGACGCCACCGGAAGCCTCCCTGGGAGCAGCTCCACAGGGGGCGAGGCCGCGGATCCGAGGGGGCAGAGGGTCCCCAGACCTCCTCGCGTTGTGAAGAAATCACGACGGGAGGTTTTTCGCCATTTTCGGCCTCCAGGGGCCCTTCCCGGGCGTCGGGACCGTCAAAAAACGACTCAGGATGCAGAACCGGCCCCGGGGAAAGGGTCCAGACCGCTGGGGGTCGACGTTGCGAAAAAAATCACGACGTCGGGGGCCTGGGTCGGGGAGCCAGATCGCGAGTCCCCTTGCCCCCTCGCGGCGCGCCCGTACGCCGCGAAGCCGGTGGAGAATTGCCGCAGCTGCCCTGGCAGTCGCCCTGCCAGGGCCTCGTCTGAGTGGTGGACCTGTGGTCGGGGCTCGGTCTCCGAGTGGCCCTGCTCGCCCTGGGCATCGGGTGCGTCGCTCTCTCGGTCGAGGAGGACGCCTCCTTGCAGGCGGTGGTGCGCCAACAGTTCCCCAACGCGGTCCTGGCCGGCGCCGTGGAGGAGGTCACCGCGGGCGTTTTCCAGCAGGTGCTCGCCCGGTGCCGATTCGAGGCCATTGTGGTTGCAGGCGGGCCGCCTGGTCTGGCCGCAGTCGGTCGGCGCCCCAGGGGGCCCGGAGGCCCGCGGCCTCGGGAGCTTGCGAGGATCGCGGACGAGCTGGAGGGCCTGCAGGCCCAGAGCAAGGGGGCAGTCCCCGTCTTACGCTGCCTGGTGAGCGGGACCGCGGCGCCCCGGGAAGCGGCGGCGTCTGGCACCGAGCTCATGAAGGGCCCCCCATGCAAGTGGACGCCCAGCTGTGGGGGTGGGTCCACAAGAACCGCTTGTTCTGGCTGCGTGGCCCGAGGGGCAGCCTCAAGGACATCGAAGTGTAGCTGCCAAGGGGTTTCTCCCTGGAGTGGCGGAGCCAGCCCGAGGTGGCCAAGCTGGCGACTAAGCGGACAGAAGCCGTGGCCTTCGACCGTCATTTTCGCCAGAGGCTTCACGCCGAGTTTCAGCCCTGCCCAGGTGGCTGCCAGGGAGACCGATGACTGCATGCACACGTTCACGCGGGAGTTCTGGCACCTGCTGGACAGGGCCCCCAGGGCGTCGCCGGCGGCGATCGAGCGCTGCATGACAGACAAGCGCAGGGTCCCGCCCTTGGCGTACGAGACCAGCAGCCTGCTCTGGCGCACGGACCGGTGGCGCCAGCCAGACCCGCAGGAGCAAGCGCTCATCCACGGCATGCCTCCATCCCTGATCGAGGCGCTGAGCCAGGGGCGGTCCGAGGAGCAGGTTACGGCGCTGCGGAACAGCGCCATCGGCAACGGGTTCCGCGTGCCCTCCGTCATGCTGGCGCTGTTTATTCTCTTCCAAATGTTCCCCAGCGGGGCCACCGCGATGCCAGCCCAGATGAGTGATGAGCAGAAGCAGGCTCTGCGCGCTCCAGTCCGAGGGGCGGCGTTCGACGACTACGTTGCGGACCACTCTCCCGGCTTGCTGACGCCGCGGGAGATCATGGAAGACTCGGGAGCGGCCAAGAGGGGGGTGTCCAAGAGGGGGGGGTGCAAATCATGACCGGCGGCATGTGCGCGGCCCGGCGGGGGGGCCAGGGACGTAATGAAACAAGAAGAGGCGCCATGAAATCTGGGGAAAAATCATGGCCCGCGCCATGAAATCCACCCCCCCTAGTCATCACCCCCCTCTTTTCCGCCCCCGATGATGCATCAGCTGCCCGCCCTGCCCGGGGACGACCCCGCCTGGCAGGCGTCTGTCATGGGCGGAGGAGGACGTCCGGAGTGCGCAGTGCTTCCACAGCTTCGCCAAGATGCGCGGCCACGTCGGGGCGGAGATGGGGCCCGCCCGGGCCATTTTTGTTTTTATACTTTTTTGGGGAAGCTAGCCAGGAGTTTTTTTGTAGCTAGCCAGGAGGGCGACGAGGGAACGAGGGAGAAGAGGAGGAAGACGAGGCCGAGGGGGAAGCAACGACGACCCCAAAGCGCAGAAGCACAGGGCCCTGGCCATGGCAGGCTGCGGGATTCAGCGCGCCCCGGGTGATTCCAAGCGTGGCCTGGACCACCTGCTGCCGCCAGGGCTGGGCCGGCAGCAACACATCGACCAGGCGTTGGGGCTGCCCTCGCCGTTCACCCAGCAGAGGCCCATGGACGATGACTTGCATGTCGTGGCCGAGATGATGGTCGTCTTCGGCCCGCGTTCGCAGGTCTGGCGGGAGCGGCAGCGAGGCTCCCTGAGGCGCATCATGGACGCGATGGAGCCCATCAGGGCATCCTTGCTGCCGCGGCGGTCCAGCACCTCTGTGGCGGTGGCCGCGGACGGAGACGTCGCTGGAATCGCATCCTTGACGGCGGCACTGCCATGGCCCGGCCGATCCCAGGCGGAAGGCTGTCTGAATGGCTTCAAGGTCGTCGGCGAGATCGAGTCTTCAAGAATACTCCGAGGGGTGCGCCAGCCCAACCTGACAGGTAGCTACTACGGCCAGGCGGCCATGGATGAGGTAAGAAAATATGATAATGTCTCGGCCCCCCAAAGAGGCGGCCGAAATTTAGGAGCTAACACAAGAAGGGATCAGCAAGGGCTTCACCGAGCCTCTCGTCACTGCCCGGAGCCTCGACCGCAGGTTCGGGCCAGGGAACAGGCGGCCCATCCACCGCTTCCTGATCAGGCTGCCGGACGGGAAGACGAGTCTCATCGACGATTGCAAGCGGGGTGGCCAGAACCAGTGGTCGGCGCTCGCGGAGACTATCTACACCATCGGTGTCGACACTGTGCCAGCCATGGTCTGCTTGCTCGTGCACAGGGCCAGGAAGCACTACCCAGATGAGGGGTTACCCGAGTGGTTCCACCTGCGGCTGGGGACCGACGACCTCCCAGACGCCTTCCGCGGGTGCCCGATCCACCCCTCCCAGCAAAACGCCGCGGTGGTGGCCGTGTGGTCGCCGAAGGGGCACACGTGGATGTTCGGGGTCATGCAGGGTTGCCCGTACGGGTTGGAGTCGGTGGTCGTCACCTCCATTCGCTTCCCCCCCGTCATCACGGCGGCGATGCGCCGGATGCTTGGCCTGATGGCAGCGGCTTATTTCGACGACAATTTGCTCGTGGACTTCGAATGCTCCGCCCGAGATGCCAAGGGCCTGCTGCAGCAGACGTTTGCTGAGGCAGTTACGCCGCCCAAGCCATCGAAAGCGTTCCCAACGTAATTGAACAGGAGTTTCTTGGAGGCCGTCGTGGACGTGAGCGACGTCTGTCACGACGGTAGCGGGGACGTATACATCTCCCTAAGGACGCCAGCAAGCAGCAGGCGATCGTGGACATCCAGCACGCGGTTGACTTGCGCCAGATGTCCCGGGCCCAGGCAGCGAAGACCCGAGGGCGGAGCGGCTGGATCGGCATCAGAAAATTCGATCGCCTCGGTAGGCTGGGCCTGGCGGTGCTCGAGCAGCTTCAATACGAAGGGGACGGGGGAGTCTCCGAGAGACAATGCGCCATCCTGCAGCTACCCAGCAGCCC